TTCCAGACTGCATTTGTCTTTTGCCGAAGCTCAGACTCTGGCACAGGATCGGGAACGTTGGAAGGACTGTGTGGCGCGTCTGCCTCCGCGACGCGAAAGGAGAAGCGGCGATGGAAGATGAAGATGTTTCTGCCTCGAAGATGACCTACTTCACCTACGCCACTATTATCTTAACTATTACGAATTTCAGCTTATAGTAAATATTGATTGACACTCATCTGATCCACTGAAAGTCAGTGTCAGCAGTACCAAAAATTTCAGCATATTATCAATGATAAGCGCAATCAATGGATAAGTAATAAAAAATTACTGTAACACTCACCTGATTTCTTGGTAATCGTCCACTGCCATTCGCTTGACCAACCGTTTTCGACGGTAGATCTTGTTCGGCGTACCCATCTCCGTCAGACTGTCCGACTCCGGCAAATTGAACACCACGGACATCTTCAATGAGCAACCTTGCGATTGAACGTCTTTGCCGGCAAGCTTCATTAACGAACCATTAAGTGTTTTTGTCTCGCTGCCACTCATATCCGCGTTGCCCTGAAAAATTCAAAGATACATTCAGTTTCTGGCATTCCAAAGTAGCGGTGCACTGTTCCTACGCTGCACACTGCAGAGTAGACTTGAGGAATTTTAAGAATTAGGAGCAGTCGCTTGCACTTTCTTAAAATTAGATGTGGACAACTTGAGAGAAGAATCCTCTATATCAGAAGTGGATGCATAGTTTTATTCCATCATTAGCAGCAGCAGAAACAGAAAACAAAAAAATTAAGTGTTTATGAACAACAAAATTCAAGTTCGAGAACTCTAAGTTTCCATTAATATAACGCACACATTTGCAACCACATTCAATCAAAAGCAACTCATAACTGTGTCGATCAATTTCGATGACCGCTTAGGTGGCAGAAGCAGAAGCGTCTGACAGCATCTCCAACGTTTCCGATTTTGCGCAAGCGTCTGAGTTTCAGCAGACATAACCCGAATCTGCAGCAACGTCTGTAGATGCACTTGTTCCAGATCATTCTTGGCCATCTTTTGGGGCTTTGGCCATCGGGTGAACAAGTCGTATCTGTTTCGCTTTCTATCAGGAAATATTCTCAAGAAACACCTAAACCACTGTAGTTGTGACTTGACTTATCAGTTTGGAGAAGCTGCGACTTACGCCAGAGATTAGAGGAATATCTGACCTTCAGACCGTATCGAGACGCATTAGTCGAGCGATTCGTAATAGAAAACCCATTTTCGTCGCGTGTGCCTGATATCGCTTTTTCAGTAGTTGTGCAAGATCCATGAATATAGATGAGCACACGGATGAAAACTGACTTGAATACAGACACTTTCAACTTCACACTCAGTTCTACTGTAGTTGTACAGGTTCGGGATAGTTCATGGAGAACGCCGCTGCCCATCTTGATTCTTCAGTCGATCCCCTTCTTCGATTTTCCATCACCAGTCAACATGACTGCGATGCAAGTGAACTTCACTTATCCAAGGGCTTCTTTTTCCGTTCATCTGAAGAGGGCAAATTTCAGGGGAAAAGTTTATCGGTAAAACACTATGCCTTTAGTTTCTGAAGACGTTCACATGCATGCCGGCCACGTAGTACTAGGCTTCGAGCAATTCCAGAGAACGCTAGAGATCAATTTCAGAAGATGCCAACAAAACAAGATTATCTGCAAACAACTGGGTGCCCTCAGTTTTACACTGCCCTGGCAATGCCTGAATCTCCATCCATGTGAAACACAAACAGGAGAAGGTGAAGACCAATGCCAACACTGAATAGTCTCAACTTAGCGCCATTTACCTTTACGCAGCACCTGTCATCGACACATAATGAACGAACGGCCAGAAGCAGCTGACCATCGATCTCATATGATTCCAGGTACGGCAATAACGTTTTGCACGGATAGGGTCATAGACTTTTTCGAACAAAACAAATGCAAACTGGATGAGCGAATTTCCACAATTTCTCAACAATCTGGTGTGAAGTGAAGATCTCAGCAGACGTAGGGAACAACATAAAGCAGTACAGTAGCATAAACCCTGCAATATGGGAGCGAGCCTATATCGGATCGAAATCAAGACAGATGTCGGCCGAGAGGTCTGCTTACAACATGAATGAACGAGATAAAAACAAGTCTGTTTGGCGAGAAACTGTTTCTTTCGTACTTGACGTATTTGATGTTTTGTAGCAAAAAGTGCTGAAAACCTGAGACAAGAAAGACATCGCAAAAGGTAGACGTTATGCTTATGGAAATGACTTAAGAAAATTTTCAGAAAAACGAGAACAAAGCCGATAAAGCAAAGCGACATATAAGAGGCTTAGAACAATATAAGATGATAACAAAAACAAAACAAAGCGAATTATGCTCATTGGTGTCATTACGATCCCACTTATGACGGAGGAGTGATAATGATAATTTTGGCAAAACCTTACCTGATTTGATTAGTAACGAGTTTGATGCAACTTCATTTACAGAGCAGACGTTCACACGATTTGGTTTTTTTCGGACACGAATCCTCTTTAGATTAGAAATTAGTAAAAGGGAGCACCCGGAAGCCTGCAGATTGACCAGAAGGCCAAAAAGATATACACCCAAGTGATGAGAACAGATCTATGTTCAGAAAAGAACAATTCTTACTAAGATGCCGTCGTTGGACATCACAAAAGAGATACAATCTGCTTGAGCAAAAGTTGAAAGTGATGATTTCAACAAACCACGTAGGTATGGAGATTCAGCACAGCTTGGAGACATCCGGGCGAAGTTAAATATCTCGTAAGATGCAATATACAATTAATTGCTGGGAAACACTATTCCTCTGGCGATCCGTTTCCAATACAGTCTCATACGAAACTATCATGTATTTTATTCTTTCTGAAATGCATATCTGCTGCAATTTTCCATATGGTTACATCAGACAAATACGAAAAAGGAACAAACTGACCATTCTGTTAAGATAATTAGCCGGAAAATCTGGCTCACCGGCTCGGCCACAAACGACGAAGACCTGTGATGAGCTTCTGGACTGGAGATGTAATGCTTCGACGTCGAGGAACCTTGTGAAAGGGGAACAGGAGGGGGGAACTTCGAAGCCGACGAGCCCGCACCGCGTCCACCGTCATTCAGATTTCGTTTTGCCTTCTTTCTCTTCAGCTAAAAGTCAAGGCAACGCGTTTATCAACACACCTAAAATGTACCAAAGCTCACTTTTCTCGGAGTTCCTGCGCTGCCAGCGCAAGCCGTTCTTCCCGAAGACTCGTCCTGCCTTGCGGCGTCTTCAAGCGCCGAAATCAAGTCTGATAAGTGATTGTACAGGTGGTCGCCTGAGTTCGATAAAATACTCTGAATTTCAGTTATGTTTGTGCAAGCTGACATAATCAGAGGGAACAGCGAACGCCTTTCGGCAATCTCTTTTA